GGCGCGAGAACCGCGCCGGCCGCAGAGGTCCAGGGGTGCCTCCGCGGGAAGCCCTAGGCTGGGCTGTCACTTTTTTCCACTTTTTTTTTCTTTTTTTGACCGAAGTGGATGTAACTCTTTAAGTACGTAGCAGCAGTAGCGCCAGAGCCTCTGCTGTTCACTGCTGGGAAGCGCCGGGGGGTTCATGAAACGGATCCCGGTGCCGTGTTTTCCGTAGCAAGTGGTCCTACCCAATTCTCTCAGATTTTCGTTAATATCACCACTTACCAGAAGCGCCCTGACCCAAGAAATACGGTCAGGTTGCTGCGGATCTTCCCTACTTTTGAATCAGGTCATTTAATGCTGCCGTGGAGGTGGCATCTCCGAGGATGTGCTGCTCAGTTCACCTGCTCGCTTGGGAAGAGAAGCTCGTTTGTGGCCCGTTGGCGCCCAGCTGGGCAGGGAAATCAGTGAGCAGCCGCAGCGCGGCCCTCGTTCCCCTTTTCAGGAGTTTACAGGGTAACATGCTACTTGATCCGATGGCAAAGTGGAGCAGTATTGCCAGCCCTGAGGACTCAAAAATCATGAGTCAGACCATGAAGTAAATTAGATTATAATACAGGATTATATTGTGGTTTTGTCCGTTGCTTGGATTTTGAGTTCCCCCTGCCTGGTCTTTGTATGTGTGCCTGTCAGCTGATACAGCCCATTGTCCCAACTTTATCGAGTAAAATATTGTGGTGCTACTGGAAGAGATATCACTTTCTCCCTAACGCACTTTCCTTCTTCCCAGCCTCCAATGTACCTCCTCACTTTTTCCTAGCTACTGTGCGAGAGCCCTCTCTGTCAGCTCTAATCCCATTTCCTTTTTTTTCTGCAGCTGCTGGATTTCTTCCCAACTCTTAAGGTATCATGGAGAAGGAGCAGAGATGGGCTGTTTTGTCTTCCTGTTTGAAAAGATGGGGCCAGCTCCCTTGGAGATAATAATGTGTGATTCCCACACTAATGTTGATTGGCTGCTTTTCCCAAGGAAGGGAGAGACTGGAGCATGCTGTCAATCAGGAGGAGTTTTGACCATTTTGAGAGTAGCTGGAGTGCCTCATGTCACCCTAGGCCAGACTGTGAAATTGCAGCATCTGTCTGAATGCACTGAATCAGGGCAGTATTGCGTTTATCAAGGGTATTTGTTTACAGAAATCTTCCTTTTTACACAAAGTTGAAAGTACAGTTTGTCTTTGGGACTTAACAGTGATGTCCAGAATTTTTTCCTGAAGACTTTTTCCTTTTCTTGATGATTGAAAACAGTAAGAAAATGTTGTAGTGAGGAAAGCTTGTACAGTGTCTTTTTTTTTTTTGTGAGTTAAACCATTTTAAACATAATCTATTTTTGTCTTATATAGCATGCAAGGAAGGGCATATTCTATTTATAGACAGTTTATGTTTATTGTAATATTCCTATGGATAGCAATTCCACATGTCTATAAAAGGATTCTAACGAGCACACTGGAACAATCATAGTAAACTGCTATTGCGCTTTCTCTAACATGTCTCAAGTAGCACACATCTCAAACATGCAATAATAATACTTGTTTCCTTATCTGGGAGGCTTTTGGAGGAATAATTAGTAATTGTTTTGAAAGAACATTTTTCTAAAATGGTACTCAAAAATGGATCTGTTATTCATTGCATGTTTTCATCTAAATGCTAAAAATACATTAGAAACCCAGTTTTGTACAATACTTTTACAATTCAACTGACATGAATCAAAATGAGTATCTGAATCACAGGATCCACAAAAAGTGTTTTGAAACTTAAGGTGTAGGGACATAATATTATTCTACTGAGCAATTAGTTTTTTTTAGGGTACTTTCTTGTTAATCTAATCCTTATTTTCTACTGGCTTCAAAGTGGAAATATTTAACTTTCTGTAAGCTAATAATTTATTAAGATCATTTGATTAATACGATCCAGTGCAAGAATGCTCAGGAGCTAGCTCAGTGTGTCAGATGGTGGTACTGCTCTATGCAGAAGCAACTCAAGCGTGCCTGAAGGTGCCAGGGAAGAGCATTAATCTGATTGGGTTTTTTTGATTCCTTAAATGTATTTATTGTAAAAATGTCTTTTTACATGTGAATAACATGAACCGTTTTGTAGTATACCACAAGTAGGGAAGGCTTCAAATAATCTCACTCTTCTAACCCTAAGGTTTTCAAGAACATCTGTATTAAGAATAAAAATAAATAAATATCAGCTACTAAGTGATAATGTGAGATGCATCCTATATAGCTTTTACTTGACTACATGGAGGAGATAAGGGGAGAAAGACCCACTGCTTCTTCACCTGTGCCAGCTCTTCAGCTTCTGCACACAGTCGCATGCTGCAATATACGTAGCAGAGGTCTTGCAAGTAGTTTCTGTTCCTTTATCTGAATGTCATGAAGAGGGCAGAAAATCTGCCTTAGTCGGTGTCATGATTTTGAAATCCTGATAATTTCTTTTTTACCTCTGCCTAGGCTGAAAAAATTAAAGAGCGTAATCCTGGAATACCAGAGTTGGCTTTAGCCAAGCAGCAGGTGATTTGAGGGCCTTCCAATGTTCTTTTTGGAAGAAAAATAAGCAGTCAGGTGTTTTTAATGTAAATGGCTTATTTTCAAAGTAAACATGAGTCCTGCCTGTGCCAACAAGGCAGAAATGGACTAGGAACAAGTGACACCCTTCAGAAAGCACAGTCAAATGATCACTTCATGTCCCAAGCATCAAATGCTTCGGGGTCTTGTCTTTCTTCACAAGTTACACAAACTCAACTAGATTTAAGTACATTCTTAGGGCTTTTTTACTTTCTGTCATTGTGGACTTTACAGTTGAAATGTCCTGAGCTGAGTGCTGGATGACCTGTATATGATCTGGGAAAAATAACTGAAAACGTGAAAGCTTCTGGTACTTTTCACCAGAATGCACACGTGTTAAGGTGTGCTCACTTTTTGGTGTACGTACAGGGATGACTCCCTGGGTAGAGACAAGATATGCTCGCTGCAGAATGGGACGAGAGTGCGCAGGTCACAAATCATGATTTTACGTTGCTGTTGTTCCAACACTTTCTTTAGCTGCACCTTGCAAAGACTAATTTATACCTCAATGCCAGTGCCCCGCTGTGACATTTGGATAGTGGTGGATCTGTGAAGTGCAAAGGTTCTCTGGCTTCAGCCTTAGAGTCCCTGTTAAATGAGAAATGGGGAGCGAACAGAGTTGCTGCTATGGGAAAATAATATATTTATTTAGGAAGCCATGTAACGTACACAGAGAAATCTAAGTAAACAAAATAATAATTAGTATTCAGAATATATTTCTTTTTTTATTTTTTATTTTCACACATGATCCTGCCCAAAACTCATCTACTTTTGTCCTTCTGTGACTAATATTACTGTTAAAAATGTGCAGTTAACCAGGAGTAGTTATGATGAAGCAGCAGTCCACTCTATCTTGCAAAATACATTTATTTGATAAAACAGGACTACAGTAGGTCTTATATGCTATTGCTGAGCATAGAGCCAGAGTACGTATGGCCCTTTATGCATATTTACCATTCTTTGGAATGATGACACTTCTTCATCTGTGAATATCTCTAAAGAAGGAGCACGTGGCCATGTAATGTAGCAGGCCTTTAAGTCTGTGGCTAAATAATTCTATTTAGAGGGTGAATTAAGGGGTTAGGCTGTATAATTCTGATCGGCACGGCGTTCACATCTTAAAATCCATAATAGGATCAATGGAAGTTAAGTAATGCCATCCAGCTTAGTCAGTCATTGCAGACTGAAATGACCAATTCTTAGTTCAGTTTTTAACTCCTAAGTGTCGTAGTCTGGAAATTTTCCTCCACAGAACAGTGATATTTATATTCATAACCAGATACTAGTGATATATTTACAAAAAATGGAAATAGTATGAATGTTCTGCCATTTTGAGGAAAATTATTAGAGGTCTTTAGGGAGTTTATTTGGTAATAGCTTTCATTCAGAATCCTGGTGTGCGTTAAACACTGGGTGGTCATTGCAC